GTGACTGCTGTGACGACCCCTCCGCTCCACTAGTTGTCCCTGCCTTTAGCTGCTGTTCTTTCTCTTGCAGGACTCCGCAGGGCGGAGGGTCATCAGCCCGGTGAGCAACACCTGGGCCCGGTGTGTGTCTCTGTCAAAAGCTCCCTCCTGCCTGTCTCTGGTCTGATCGGAGCATGGGCACGGCTGCTGCTGCTGTTTTCTTCTTTTGTTTGCTCCATGCATTTCCACACATGCTTACGCTACTGACTACTTTAGAGTTAAAACGTCTTAAAACGGACGTCGAATTAGATGTTTTGGTCCAGTCGGCGTTCAACAGTGCACGGCCGTAGTAAGTCACACTTGTGCTGTCACGCCATCTTGTTCAAACAGTGTGACGTTCGCAGCAGTAAAGAATAAAGATTCCGGTAGAGATGACTTCATGGTTATAAATCGCGTGCGCATTTTAATAAAATGCGCGTGCAAATTGTAAAAAAATAACGTGCATGTCACCTCCCGGTCTCCATGGAAACATAATGAAGATTTTCAAGACTTAACCTTGATGTCAGACAGCCCTTTACTGATACAGTTACATGATGCTTTATGTTGTTGTGTGACTAGCTCTCCTGCTCTGGGTCCAAGTACAGGAAAGAACCACAGTGCTACATGCCCTGCCCCTGACAAGCAGTAAAAGTCCAGTCACCACCGGATAACAGGTTTTGACCCAGCTTGGCTGTCAGAGGGGAAATACTCCACCTGGCTGTACAAGACTGAGCTTGGTAAATAAGTAAGTACATACATATAAAAACATATAAACATAAATGTTTGGGTCTGTGTCAGTCATGAGTGTTTTTGAAATCTTACTCCAAACTCTGTATTGGTCCTGTTTGTGCATGTGTGTGTTCAGACCTGTGTGTAATTGACAACAGAGTGAAAAAATTGAATTTCCCCTCAGGGATTAATAAAGTATTTAAAAATTAAAAAAAAAAAAATCAATTCAATTAAAAATTAAAATAATTTTTTTTTTTCAAACTGAACACCTGAATCACGTTTCTCCCTCATGAATTTTCATGTGTGTCCGTAAATTTCCATTTTGTGTAAATGATCTCCCACAAATTGAGCAGCTAAATGGTTTCTCTCCTGTATGACATCTCATGTGTTTCTTCAGATCTCCACTGTAACCAAATCTCTTCCCACATTCAGAGCAGCTAAATAGTTTTTCTCCTGAATGAGATGTCATGTGTTTCTTCAAATCTCCACTGTAACCAAATCTTTTCCCACACTCAGAGCAGCTAAATGGTTTCTCTCCTGTATGCGATCTCATGTGTACCTTCAAATGTCCACTATGACCAAATCTTTTCCCACACTCAGAGCAGCCAAATCGTTTCTCACGAACAGTGAAATCACTGACAGGGACTTCATCATTTTCCAGAGAGTTTAAACCTGACTGAGGTTCTCTGGTCTCCGTCCAATCATCACTGTCATCAGTCTTTGGTTTTAAATGTGTATCTGGATCTGAGTTCCTGGCTGGTTCTGCTCCTCCACAGTCCTCTCCCTCTGCTTCTGTTTCCATCTGTTCAGTGTGTCTTTGATGAAGCTGTGAGGACTGAGGTTTCTCTTCATCATCTTCACTCTTCACAGGGACAGGAGTGGGTGTGAACTTGGTGATATCATCCTCCTCCAGCCCTTGAAGCTGCTCTCCCTCCTGACTGATCCAGAGTTCCTCCTGTTCCTCTTTAATGTGTGGACGCTCTGGGTCCTCCTGGTCCACACTGGAGCTCCACTCCTGCTGCTCAGGGGGAACCTCTTCTTTAACCATCAACAGCTGCTGGATGTCTGCAGGAAATAGTAAACACACACACACACACACACACACACACACACACACNCCTGACTGAAGTTCTCTGGTCTCCGTCCAATCATCACTGTCATCAGCCTCAGGTTGTAAATGTATATCTGGATCTGAGTTCCTGGTTGGTTCTGCTCCTCCACAGTCCTCTCCCTCTGCTTCTGTTTCCATCTGTTCAGTGTGTCTTTGATGAAGCTGTGAGGACTGAGGTTTGTCTTCATCATCTTCACTATTCACAGGGACAGGAGTGGATGTGAACTTGGTGATATCATCCTCCTCCAGCCCTTGAAGCTGCTCTCCCTCCTGACTGATCCAGAGATCCACCAACAGCTGCTGGACATCTGCAGGAAACAGTATACACACACACACACACACACAGACACACGCACGCACGCACATGCACACGCACACGCGCACACACACACACGCACACACGCACGCACGCACATGCACACGCACACGCGCACACACACACACACACGTTACAGAGAAATGTTGTCGTTTATTCACATCACAGCTCAAAAACTCCTTATTGAACTTCTACAGATCTCTGAGCATCAAACAGCTTCACAGTGTTCACTCAGCTGTGTCAGAGTGAGTGAGGTTGAGGTGAGCTTTAATTTCATAGCAGTCATTAATATGTACTGTTACTCTTGTCATGTCTGGAGGCTACAGTGTGGCTCTTTATTTGCTCAAACTAAAGTGAATTATGTGAGAATGATTGTCCATAGGATGGGAGAGTTTGCTGTGAGTCAAGTTTGATTACTGGCAGCCGGAGTAAATAAGATGCTGTTAGTACATCAACTCAAGTACTACTGCAGTACAAATTTGTGGTTCTTTTACTTCACTCGAGAATTTCGAAAAGGTGTATGAGAGTGAGGCAGAGCCGATTAGGACTGGGTATTGCCACTGATTTCCTGAATTGATTCGATTTCGATTCAAGGGGTCTCGATCCAATATCGATTTGACTCGAGATTTTTCAGTTACAAGACCAGTCCCTCCAGGATCTCGCAACAGAAAAACCTTGAATTTGCGACAAATTTGTCAAAAATGGCGATAACATTGCAGCAAATAACAAAAATTACAAGTCAGGAGAAAGAAAAATAAAAAAAAAATTTAGGCTACTGCCTCCAAAAAATAAGTCATGTAATCACTTGCTATAATAATCATACTGAATATTACAAAAACAGCTGCAAATGTTTCAGTTCTCTTGTTTAGTTTTATTTAATTAGTTTCAAAACATGGACTCCAATAAAGCNACACACACACACACACACACACACGTTACAGAGGAATGGTATCGTTCATTCACATCACAGCTCAAAAACTCCTTACTGAACTTCTACAGATCTCTGAGCATCAAACAGCTTCACAGTGTCCACTCAGCTGTGTCAGAGTGAGTGAGGTTGAGGTGAGCTTGAATTTCATAGCAGTCATTAATATGTACTGTTACTCTTGTCATGTCTGGAGGCTACAGTGTGGCTCTTTATTTACTCAAACTAAAGTGAATTATGTGAGAATGATTGTCCATGGGATGGGAGAGTTTGCTGTGAGTCAAGTTTGATTACTGGCAGCCTGAGTAAATAAGATGCTGTTAGTACATCAACTCAAGTACTACTGCAGTACAAATTTGTGGTTCTTTTACTTCACTCGAGAATTTCTAAAAGGTGTATGAGAGTGAGGCAGAGCCGATTAGGACTGGCTATCACTGATTTCTTGAATCGATTCGCTTTCGATTCAAGGGGTCTCGATCCAATATCGATTTGACTGGAGATTTTTCAGTTACAAGACCAGTCCCTCCAGGATCTTGCGACAGAAAAACCTTGAATTTGCGGCCAATTTTGTCAAAAATTGCGAAAACATTGCAGCAAATGACAAAAATTGCAAGTCAGGACAAAGAAAAATAAAAAAAATTTAAACTACTGCTTCCAAAAAATGACAGCAAATGACAAAAATTGCAAGTTAGGAGAAAAAAAAATCAAACCACTGCCTCCTGAAAATAAGTCATATAATCACTTGCTATAATAATCATACTGAATATTACAAAACAGCTGCAAATGTTCCAGTTCTCTTATTTAGTTTCAAAACATGGACTCCAATAATGTTGCAAAAAATTCTGAGAATATTGTAGCCCTCAAACCAGACAGTGTGACTGTAAAACAACATGTAAGCTACATCTTCTGTAAACATAACATTTCAATAAATTCAACACATATTGTCTGCATTTAAACAGTGCAAGCCCCCGCAAATATTGCAGACTTTTGTTTAATTTGCGTCAATTATTGCAGTCGCAAGATGGCAATTTTCTAGGGGGACTGCAATTCCAATTTTTGCTAGTATGTGAAAGAGATTCTCAGAGAACTAATCATGTAACATATACAAGGAAGTATTTTTTTAAAAGAAGAAATTCACAACAGGAATAAAACTGAGTATTTCATCATTACATATTTCTGGAGCAGCAACAGTAATATTAAAGCAGCAAAGTCACAATACAAACTTATTATCTCACTGGAAACAAAATAAAAATGTCAATAAAATAAATCATATTCCTGACATCACAGTACTGAGTGAATTTTCAAAGAAAGAAGAGAGAATACAGACATCAGTCAGTATCAGTCCTCCTGTCTACTGATGATGACTCACTGCCTGCAGGTCACATGACCACCGACTTTTTCCTTGAGAAGGTTTTATTGCACGCACAGTAACAAGTGTAGTTGTCATCAGCTCAAGTTATCTTCACCTCTCTGTCTCCACCGCGGCATCTTTACTCTGTGATTGTGTGTCTGTGTGCGTAAAAGTGGCGTGGCAGCCAGGACGCACAGACAGCAGGAGGAGACGCTGCAGCGCTACAGAGCTCTTCACTCACTGTGACTCCAACTGAGGTGTGTAAGGTTCTGAGAAGAGCTAAAAAAACTGTAGAAATATACGCACATCACTTAGTTTGGGTGCTGGGCTGAATGAAAATTTTAGAAAAAAAGAAAGAAAGCCCGCATACTCTCATTATGCTCCAAAAAAACTTTACTAGTTAGTAGGGGTGTCCCTGACTAAGAATTTTCATAGTCGAATCTGATTTGACAGATTTTTCCTTTAGCTGACTAACTGTCGAATCGTGTTGTTTTCCCCCTCATTGATTAATGAGCTCATTTGCGTCAAGTTTCCGCTCAAGAGAAAAGAGCTGAAACACCCAAATAAACAGCTTTAATTCTTTAGTTGGCATAATAAGATGATAATAATACAAGTAAAAGGGTTATCATTTTATCTTTATTCCTTTCACTTCATGATGCTCAGATGAGCGCAGACGCGCTGCAGCGTCATCCATGTCTTTAACAGGAGTCGTTTCTGACTCGTCAGAACTTGCCATTTCATTCACAAATAAACATCCAAAAATATCATCCAACTGTTTAGAAACAGTTTTCCTTCTTTCTGGCTTGAGGTTACTTCATTAATCAACTCAGGTTCATACAAGTTCATCCACACAGACCGTGCGTCACCGCTCTCAATTGTTTGGCCACGTCGGACAAGAAGTAGCCAAATAAAAAATCAGAGTCTGTCAAGAAAACAATCAGCGGTGAAATTCGTTTCAAGACACTTCAGGTAAACGAAATAATAAATAATCATTTTCAGTTTTTTATTAATTCTATTTTAACAGAAATTAGGCTGATGTTTGAGTCAAAATAGGCTATATATCATGAATTACTAGAAAACAAATACACTCTTTGTCAAATCAAGATGTTCAGCAGCAGTGAGCACCCCCATATAGTCAGAATGGTATATTTCATAACCACATTTTGCCACGATTTGACGGCGAGACTGGCAGTCGAATCAGACTTCGAATCGAATCACCGACTATCCGGGGTCACCCCTACAAGTTAAACAACGTTTCAAGCGTCTCAGCTCTTCATCAGGTCACCGACAACCGACTCAACCCTACTTCACAGTACAGTGTATTGTTTACTAATTCTTGGGCGGTGGGTTGAAGTTTCAAAAAACATGAATTTAATTGCATTTCTGAACCAACAGGAAATAAAGAATTTAGCTGCATCCCAGGTTAAATTAAAGGGTTCTGATGGGAAAGTAACAACAACAAAGTATAAAATAAGCCCTGCATTTAAGGCCTGAAGAAAAGACCCATGTTTGTAGGAAGGTGAAGCTAACGACACCACAGAAGCTAACGCGGCCTATAAACATCGACAGACTGAATATTTATTAAACAAACCTGCAGTTATATAATTAATAATGAACTTGTAATGTTTAATGAACAAACCTGCTCTGTGTAACCGAAGCTGAGGGTTGAAAACAGCGTCCAGTAGTTTCCGTTGTCGCTCGTTCTCCTCTTTTGATCGACAAAATTCCTCCTCGTACTCTGCTATCGTTCTTTCAAACAGCCCAAATATCTCTTCAGCAGCCGCAGTTAGTCGCTGCTTCACCAACGATCTCAGCATTTGGACTTTAGACATGTTCACACTTTAAAAACACAACAAAGACACTCTGCTAACACACGTTTCCACCAGACGCCATCTTGTTCAGTGTGACAATAGGCTCGTTCGAGATGAACTGCGCCTCGCCTGGAAAGTAGACGAGAGCAGGCGGCCGCAGCGGGGGGCGGTGACAAAAAGCTGCGGTGAAGTCGGACAGTTTCCAGCAGCCTTCAGTCTGTACAGGAAGTCACAGACACACTCACATCCTGTATGGAATTATGTCAATTCATTTAAAAAGTGATCAGACTCATATATCAGTTTGTTCTCAGTCTCCAGTTGTTTTAATTCTGATAGATTGATTTATTAAAATGCTTTACAGGCGAACTGTAGTTTATGTTCATGGTTCAACCTCCATTTATATAAATTCTCCTGTAAATCAGCATCATATCAGTTTGACCTGTCCCCTCAACTACACAGGCTGAATAAACTCTATTTGACTATAAGGTTAATATTTTCAGAGGAAAAACAATACAAGACAACAGCTTTCATTAAGGCTCAGTCAGATACAGTCAGGGCTTCACATCTGTACAGAGAATTTAAGAATCCTCACATCCCACTGACCGCCAGTCTCTGTGTTGCTAAATACCTCAATAATTAAAACAGTCCAGTGTTAATGTACAGTAGACTCTGTATAGTTTATGATGAATGTATTCAGTCTGTGACAACTAAACTTCACCATCAGTCACACGTTTTCTGTTCACAGAATAAACCTTCAAATCAGACAAATACAATCTTAATCTCTAACATTCAACAAAAACGAATAGTCTATCTAAAACATCATCGAACCTAATGTCAGCCTCTAGTCTGTGCGACCCTGGCTTCGCTGCGTCTTTCCTTGTTTTGTTTTTTTTTTCACTCTTCTTGCCTTGGCTGTCAACCTTTTATACTTTATCATATTACTCTCTGTCGGGCTCTTTCTCAGTGCTCTATATGCTCAATTCCTTCCTCTAACTGCCTTATCGCACTCTTTATTCCGTCCACAAACCATTTAAGTTCCTGCCCATTCAAAATTAAACTTCTTGTATTCCACTGCAATATGTAAAACATTAGCAGGCTAATCATCATCATCATCACCATCATCATCCTCACGTGTGTCCATGCTTCCCTCTTCAAAGTATTCACTTCTGTCTGTACTCTTCCTTTCCCTTCTGCAAATCTTTCCCTCTCTTGTGTTTCCACCTTCTGTCTCATGAATGTGTGTGTAACTGCTCTGGGCCTACTTGCACCTCCTCAAGGAACCTTTCCGCTGCATTTATCACTACTTTGATCATGTCTGACCTCCTCGTTTGGTTCTTAGCTGCCCACAGAACATCTATTACTCCCTTCACATTTTGCTCATTGCCGTCAAACATGAAGCATTCAATGGGCCTGTTAAGCAAATAGCGAGCTTTCATTGCCTTCTCTCTTTGAGCTTCAGTTTTACAGAAAATTAGCACATTTCCATTGAACATCACTTTTGCATTCAATACAGGTCCCATTCTGTTTTTAATCTCTTCAGACAACTTGGGGATGTTTAAGCCTTTATCACTCCTATCTTTGAACTTAACCACAGACTTGAATCCACCCTGGTCTCCCGGCCTTGGCTTCTTCCTCAAATTTTTGTCTCTCTCTCTCAAAACAAAAAAAAAAAAAACAAAAGAAAAAAAGAAGTTTTTTTAAAAAAAAAAAATAACAGATGCATGTCACCTCCCGGTCTCCGTAGAAACACGATGGAGATTTTGAAAACCTAACCATGCTGTCAGACAGCCCATGCAGTTACATGATGCTCTCCTAAAAGCAACCAGACTCCACTTTTACCTCACAGAACACAATGAGTCGCTGGCCTTCAGCTGCCCTTCGATTGGACAGTTAGTTTGTGTTGTTGTGTGATTTTTGGAACCGACCTAACCATGCCAGTTCTCTTGTCTGCTTCTCCAAACTGGGAGAGTAAAGCTGATAACACACAATTCCAAATGAAGGCTGAGTCATGAAGATCGCTCAGCGATGTTTACATTTTCTTTTTTTATAAATTTACAAAAATGTCTGAAAAATGTTTTCACTTCATTCACATCATTATGAGCGATTTTGTGGAGATTTCTTAAAAGCAAACCATGATTAAATCAACTTTACAATTTAGCAGCCAGAGTAGCTCTCCTGTTCTGGATCCAAGTACAGGAAAGAACCATAGTGCTACATGCCCTGCCCCTGACAAGCAGCAAAAGTCCAGTCACCACCGGATAACAGGTTTTGACCCAGCTTGGCTGTCAGAGGGGAAATACTCCCCCTGGCTGTAAAAGACTGATCTTGCTAAGTAAGTAAGTAAATATATACATACATATAAAAACATATAAACATAAATGTTGGGGTCAATCATGAGTGTTTTTGAAATCTTACTCCAACCTCTGTATAGGTCCTGTTTGTGCATGTGTGTGTTCAGACCTGTGTGTAATTGACAACAGAGTGAAAAAAACTGAATTTCCCCTCGGGGATTAATAAAGTATTTAAAAATTAAAAAAATAAAAAATAAATTAAATTAAAAATTAATTAAAATAAAAACATAGTTTTTTTCAGACTGAACAGCTGAATCACGTTTCTCCCTCATGAATTTTCATGTGTGTCCGTAAATTTCCATTTTGTGTAAATGATCTCCCACAAATTGAGCAGCTAAATGGTTTCTCTCCTGTATGACATCTCATGTGTATCTTCAGAACTCCATTACGACCAAATCTTTTGCCACACTCAAAGCAGCTAAATGGTTTCTCTCCTGTATGAGATCTCATGTGTTTCTTCAGATCTCCACTGTAACCAAATCTTTTGCCACATTCAGAGCAGCTAAATCGTTTCTCACCAACAATCAAATCATTGAAAGGGACTTGATCATTTTTCAGAGAGTTTAAACCTGACTGAGGTTCTCTGGTCTCCTTCCAATAATCACTCTCACCAGTCTCAGGTTGTAAATGTTTATCCAAATCTGAACTCATGGCTGGTTCTGCTCCTCCACAGTCCTCTCCTTCCACTTCTGTTCTTATCTGCTGAGTTTGTCTTTGATGAAGCTGTGAGGACTGAGGTTTCTCTTCATCATCTTCACTCTTCACAGAGACAGGAGTGGATGTGAACTTGGTGATATCATCCTCCTCCAGCCCTTGAAGCTGCTCTCCCTCCTGACTGATCCAGAGTTCTTCCTGTTCCTCTTTAATGTGTGGAGGCTCTGGGTCCTCCTGGTCCACACTGGAGCTCCACTCCTGCTGCTCAGGGGGAACCTCTTCTTTAACCACCAACAGCTGCTGGACGTCTGCAGGAAACAGGAAACACACACACAGATGTTACAGACATCAAACTTCAGACTACAAACTTCTACAGATCTCTGAGCATCAAACAGCTTCACAGTGTTCACTCAGCTGTGTCAAGGCCAAAACACACCTGTGCTGAACAACAGAAGACCCCCTGCCCCTCCCTTGTTAACCCCTCGCTCACGGTTAATGCACTTAAATCGAGCGCCCTGCAGAGCAGCATCCATGTCTCCCTGTGACCTGCATTCATGGACAGCCAGGTAAAGATAGTGTTTGCCCTCAGTCTTGGTTTTGTTTGTTACTGTTGTGAGATTAAACTATTAAAGCATCTCATACAGCCAGCCTAATTTAGGCAATAACCCACCATTTACCAAGTTTAAATAAACCAAGTTTAACAATAAGTAAGCTCGTCTGGCATAACATCAGACCATCTCCCTCCAACTCTCTGGCTGATTCTGGTTCACCAACTTCCTGCTGTGTTCAGAGACAGAC